GTCTAATATTATTAATAATATAATAATTATCAAAATATTATACCATTTATAGTACAAGTTGTTTTTTTCTTTTAGTATAATTGTATTTATTAATAAGGAGTTTTGCATTTTATAATGTGAGATATCAGTTAGAACTGTTTCTGCACAGTTTTCCTCTGTTAATGGCTTTAGTATTTGTGCAGAGCTTGATGTGTTTTAAATGGTTGTTCGTTCATCAGCCGTCTCATTACCAGAAGCACAGCAGCCTGCATAATRGAGGAAAGCAGAGTTGTGGTTAACTGCAAAAAAATAAATAAAACATGAAACTAGGCCAGACATGTTTTTAATATAATTACTAAATGACATTTAAATACTTGGAACAAAAAATACAACTAAATCTGGTCATCAGACACAACAAACACACTTCATGATTACTTTTGATTGTGAATTTAAGAAGTCCTAACTGCATTTRCTCATTTACTGTATGTTCAACTTCTATATGCAAATTTACCAACATGAGGTAAGAGTTTGCACAGGTCCCCAGCTAAGAACCTTTACTAACAACAAAGTGCATACACAAAGAAATAAGTAYGAATACAATCCAGTTAGACTAGATWGATATTCTTAAAWATATATTATATACTCAAAAAACTGATGTTAGCTGCCTGTGAGAAATTGCAGGTTGTGTATAAACATTTAGAAAGGAAAAATTGATGCAACAAAGGTTAATGGGGTAAAGGTAAACTGGGTGAAGCTTCTATGAGTTTGAAACAAAGATACACTTTTTTTTTTCAAATTCAGWTTTTATGTGTAGGCAATAAAAACATGCCATAATTGAAAATAGGCTTGATGCTTTTTGGCATTTATTATAACTAGAAAAATGTCAAGTTTTGCGACGCCACTTTTACAAAAAAGTACATCTTTTGTTGTTTGTTTTTGTGAAATTTTAAAACTCCGTTAAATGAATAAGTTACTTCTTGTTGCTATGGGCAAAAAAAAAAGTTAGATTTAGAACTACATAATAAGTAGGGCATGTGTAAAACTCAAGGCCTGCAGGTCAAATTTGGCCTTCCACATCAGTTTATCTGGCTGGTGASAGCTTCASAGTTGTATTAATGTCTTAAAATAAGCATATTTTGCTTTAAAGACAACATTGACCATAACCTACATCTYCTAATGTATGTTGATTATTTAACCAGACTGCTTCCCACCACTAGGTGCACAGGGTTCAGATAGCTGGCGAATTTTGTTGTGTAAAATCTGTTTTAAGCTGCATTTTCACCAGCTACTTTTTAAGCAGCTCAGATGTACTGGGAAGTGGGAATTTCCCACTTACAAGTTGTAAATCTAAATGGGAACCCCCCCTCCAGTGGGAATTCCTTGTTGGAAAGTTGGAGCAACTCCCAACTTCCACAGTTCAGAAATCAAAATGGCAGCTACTCACCACAACTCAGCAATGAATAAAACMCTCTTACTTGTACTTTAGTATTCCTGTATTATTTCTTTCATATTTAGTACATGCAGTACTTTTCAGTGTTTATAAGAGGGCATGTTGAAACACTGTTTCTATGCAGGACATACCACGTAGAGCTCGGGTATTGTTTGTTAGTGTTCAATCGTAGGGCTGAGTACTAATCAATGAGACGAGGAAYGTGATGTTTCATGTTTAGTTGAAGTTAAACACAAACATTGAAGTTGATTCCAAATGGCCCTTTGGGCAATCATGATGCTCATGTGGCCCTCTGTGAAAATGAGTTCGACACCCCTGAAGTAGAGGTACAAAATGTCTTTGTATTTGTCTTTGTATTATGCCAGTTTCACATTAATAAACTTAATTTACAATATGTTCTATACAAGCATTCTTTGGGGCTGTGGTAGTTCAATGGTTAGTGCCACAGTCTTGTAGGCTGCAGGTTCAAACCAAGGTTGTGTGAGGAATGGCTTCTCGTTGAAAATATTTAGCAAATCTTCTGTGTGAGTTGTAATGTTGTCTTTTTAATGCTTTATTGTTTATGTATTTTTAATGCTATGTTGTGTTCTTATCAACACGGACTGGCTTCATTCACTTCCTCCAACGTTGTTGCTAAACTAACTAGCAGACACTGTGCAGAAAATCCACGTTCTGTTCTCTGATTGGCCTGGACGAAATGCTCCMGAAGAAATCATTGTCTATGGGAGAAATCCCAGACTGAGCAGTGAAGGGAAACTAGAATTGAGCGGAACAGCGTAGGAAGGCAAGGGCCAGGCYACCATCCAACTAYCTCCAAAGGCTTTCGATGCAGGGGCGGAGACAGGGRGTGGCCATCGCCACCCTACWAAATTCATTGGCCACCCAAACTGCTGCTTTGTCAGCAGAATTTTGGCAAAGCTATTTATTTCTATACTCAAAATGTRCATTTCTACTGCACTGATCAGACAGATAATTCTCATGATGTAATTGTACATGTCTGTGTRAATAAATAAGAGAAGAAACATGATTAAATCCACAGCAGATTGCCATACAGGAACAAAAAAATAGTCATTTTCCGGCCCATCCCTGTGTGATCAGTGGTCCTAGTCTGGACAACCCTATAAAAATTGTCTGGCCGTGCCACTGCTTCAGTGACTGTCTTTAAAAGCATTTTGAAAGTTCTTTTGGCTTTGCAAAACTAAAACTGCAATAAATAGTAGAGTGACTATTATACTTAAAATATATTCACTGAGTTGTCCAACTTATGACCAACTGATGATACCTTTCCTAAAAGGAAATTTTCTCTAAGATGTCAGCATTATGGTTATTTGTTTGAATAAAGTAAATCTATTTTAAGAACGTACTGACAGCAAGTCTTTGTGGTTCTGTATTGTTACATGTGTGATTGATCAAAGTGATACAAGRTCTAAGCTAAATGTGTTGCACCTCAGTGAGATAAACCAGCTGGAAGCCCCAGATAATAGGATGCAGCATGACCTGTAAYGCCATCTTCAGCTTTACTTGACAGCCCTAAAATGAGAGAAAAGAAAATCAAAACAGTGAATGGGTTTAATGTTCACACAGTGCTTTCTAAATGTTTTCAGCTGTAATAAATTACCTCTTTGTAAAGCAGCCATGGCTGATTCACAGTGGCGTTACATGAGCTGAAAATAGGGTCACAGCAACTGTGAGGAACTGAAAGTCCACCAGTTTGAATGAACCATGAGGTTTTCAGCCAGTCTGTGTAGTTATGGACACCACAACACAGGAGCTAATGATGATCAAAACACAAAGAACTCATCATCAATCAATTAAATCCTGTAAATCTTTTAAAAACAGAAATTTGCAGAACTGCACAACATACATACAGACAAATTTAATGTATAATCCCATTCAGTGTGCACACACCTTTTCTTGAGCCATGTCRACAGTTCGAGAGTTAATATCCTGACTGCTGCCGGTGTATTTCTGAAACACTTCACTGATAGGAGCTACCTCTAAATCCACCTGGACAAAACATCAACGGAAAAGAGGAGCAGARACATTTGCTGCAAGAATAACCTGGTGTGGTTACAACACAACTACCAAACCATTAGCATGTTTTGTATACATACCTGTTTATAGTGGATATAAGCAAACAATGAAGCTGTGCCTTGCAGACAAAACACCATAACTAGAAAGTAAACAAACTGAAGGGGACAAAAATCAATGCATGCAGCCACAAACACTGATATTATGCAGCAAATTGAAGAACCTCACCAGTCCTTGGTGACAGGAGGAGTCCTTGAGGTGCATCCAGGAGCCGAGGCACCCGGTGACAAACAGAAAGGCACCACTGCAGATTGCGAGGACAGCTGGAAGGGTGATGTACATCTGAGAGGTAAGCAGGCTGTAGTCTTTGTATTTGAACAGAAAGTTGAGTCCAGTCAGGGCCACAGCCARCCCCACCACCTGGGAAATTAAAGATAAAAAAGGAAATGCTGTATTGTWATCATCATAAGGCTTGTTTTCACTGTGGAGGAGCTGCTGATCGACTCCAAGTACTCTACATAACTGAGGTGAAGGTTGGATCAATCATTAGTGTGATCACCTCGTTGTTCTCCTTGACAGATTGGYCCAGGCTCTGCATCGATGCCAATCAATCTCCCTCTCTGTTCTACCTAACAGGACTGTAAGATATTTAAACCCCTCTACTTGGTGCTGTAGATCAATCCCAATCAACCTTTGATCCAGATGAGACTGACGACCTCTGTCACAGTCTGTTTTTTTTGTTTTTATTGTTCTTGTGTTTTCTGTTCTGAGTTTGTTTCTGTTTCTTTGGTTCAWTGTTTTTGTCTCCTTGTGATCAGTTTGTGTTCCTCTGTCACTTCTCCCAGCACTTTTCCACAGTTAGTCTCTGTTCCTCAGTTTGGCCACGCCAGGCCGCACCTRTTYTTGTTTTGTTAGTCACAGCYGCAGCCACTCTTCCCATCAGCCTCAGTTCATATTCTTCTGTTTCTCACGACCCACCTGTTAAGCATTATGCATCTTGCAATGTCCCGACTGGACCGTCCCATATTACTCTTGTGATTATTCCTCAAGTGTGCATTAGCAGTTTTTGTTTTCACAACAACATTATTRTTTGGTCAGAATAGGTTCCTTGTGTCAGTCTGCATTTCTGGGTCCAACTTTTTGATATCATGACAACCTCCAAATTGGAGGTGCCGATCTCAGTGCAAGACTCAGTGAAGCCAAGWGAACCACATCCTCTGGCCAAAGAAGCAATCTGAAGCCTCCTAAACTGGAAACGTTTCACCTTTTGGTTGCACATAAAGGTTATGAACAGAATCAAGACAAATGACAACAATGGGAGTCCAACACTTACTAGAAGCAAGTYTGACTTATTACTAGCTGTTATTGTACAAAGATTGAATGGCTCTAGAACCCCTGCTCCCAACACAACTTGTAAGGGTACAACAAGGAATATAAACTCAGCACAAAAAATAAGGAAATATGTGTTTGGTAGATTGTTTATTTGTTGAAACAATGCTTCTTGGGAATAAATCTTATACTACTGGAAAGCCTTTTAAATAGTGCATCATTTGTAAGGAAAATGCATTTGTGGGATAAGCAGTAGAGTTGCGTATGTGGGYTGCGCTCATGAAAAATTTGCCAAATCTACTCTGCCAAACAGCWWATTTGTTGCTGTTGACTCTTGTCTTGAGCATCTGGTACACSCAGGTGCTGCTAATCAGGTGCCTAGTATAAGATTCATTGCCARGATGCATTGTTACAACAAACACACATTTCCTTATTTGTGTTGTCTAGTTGTAAGTCTTCTCTAAGGCATCACAAGAAGAAAGGTTGGGCAAACTCACATACACCCTCAATTTGCCCAATCCGACCAAAAGAGAGTCCGTCAGTAGATACGGGGAGACTGACGGACCTCCTCAAGGCCAGCCCATCTCCCTGATTCATATTACCTGCTACCCTTTTCTTTAATAATGACTCTCTCTCCCTCACAGCTCTTATTGACTCAGGCTGTGAACAGAATTTAATCGATAGCTCACTAGTCAAACAAGCCCAAATTGAGACCATCCCTTTGACTTCCCCATTAAGGGTCTCAGCTCATAATGGAGTTGGCCTTCCTCAGATA